ATATTGTGAAATAATGTGTTTGTATTAAAAGCAACATTAAACAATGTTCACTTTCACAATTCCCAATAAATATCGAATATTAAGATGCACCATTCATGTATTAAATTATGAAGCGCCATTATAATTTCATGCATTTACAGTTTGAAAGTCACCATTCAAAGATGCGAATTATTATGAATTTCTTCGCTAGAGGTCGCTCTTGTGAATGGACTGCGTTATTTTTACACAAGGAGGCTGCTTCTCGTTGCTGTGAAATTCAACATACAAATTCTAAATACTCGCCAATTGAAATGGAACTTTCATCACAAACAGTTATATTCAATTTAGGGATTCTCGACATATATTGAAATTTCAATCGGCGCTGTGAAATAAACATATATACTGTAAAATGTCGACAGTGCCGGATTAAATGCCATGGAGGTCGTTAGGCAGTAGAAATATCGGGGTCCCTCTCGCAAATTATCTCCAAATACGTCAAGATCAAATCAATTCAATGTTAGTTTGATCCGTTGAAGCAGGGTCCCTAAAAGGCATGGGGCCAGTAGAACTTAAAACCATAACTATATAATTAAACATATGAAATCTTGATCAAGAAAATGGAACTTTAAGAACATGCAATTTGATCCAACATGTGATATTGGATTTCTCGAAATAGAATATCGAGACTTAATCTTAATTTTCTCACTGGACCATCATTTGTGCCAATGCCTTAAAACTCTGAGTCGGAAAAATATATAATTTAACACCAGACTATTAAATAGCTTAACGTAAAGAAGTTATGGAGTGTTAAATACAGGCACATATGTTCTAGTCGCAAAGCGAAAGCTAATGAACTCCTGCTCAGCTCGCGAACCTAAATTAAGGTCAGTTATACATTTAATGGCCACCTCCATATGTAAACATAGAATTAGAAAGCGAGTGAATCACATAAGACATAATTAGGCAGTATACCATCTGAGTTGGAATATATATATATATATATATATATATATATATATATATATATATATATATGTATATATGTATGTATGTATGTATGTATGTATGTATGTATGTATGTATGTATGCATGCATGCATACATGCATACATACATACATACATACATACATACATACATACATACATACATACATACATACATACATACATACATACATACATACATACATACATACATACATACATACATACATACATACATACATACATACATACATACATACATACATACATACATACATACATACATACATACATACATACATACATACTTGGGACAAAAGGGTGACCTATTGTCTTTTGCGTGACATTTTTATTTATTTAAGGATACAGCTTCTTCAGCCAATTCTCCAGCAAAAGTTCCTCATAAAATTCCTCAGGAAAGTCTACAGCCGAATTCCCTTTCTAGATTCGAGATATCATCGTCAAATCTTTAAGTTTCGATTGGCAAGGGTCCAAGTTAAGGACGATTATACAAAGGTTAGAAATGCAGAGAAAGGAATGGAAAACTCGATGTCCGGATAAAGATAGGTGATTACGTCATTCAGCGTCGAACTCAAAGTCACGACTCGTAGGCTATGATGAAAGTGTATCAATTCTGTCACTGACAATTAATAGTAAAGTGAAAGTTGTATTTGCTTTTATTGAGTACATGTTCGTACATTTCTTTTTTTTGTAGTGAAAGAAATTGATTTCTTTCCTTCTGGAATTATATTGTTAAGTTGACTAATTTTTATATTTGTTCATTGAAAGGGGGCTCATTGATTTATTTATTCAATATGCTTGCGGGAGGTCAATCCCTAGCAACGAACCCTAGAGAAAGTGTTTGTTTAACGTTTTGAATCCAACCCGTTTGTCACATTATCCAAAAGGGAGACGATTGTCTGAATGTTTCGACGGACACCAAAAGTAGAAAATCGAGGTAATTACATAAATTCCTTATTCTTCTTTTATGCTATGATTTGTTTGCTTGTAAGTACTTGCATTTGCAGGAATTATATACGTCATTTATGCTATGACTTAATTGCTTGTAGGAGCATGTATTTGCAGGAATTTATTTGTTGAGTCCTATATTAATTTTCTTAATATGTCTAGTTTGTTTATCTGCGCCCTTGCAACGATATTTCCTTTTACATATGCGTTGGCGGCTTGCTAATTTTTATAGTCTTGATTATTGTAGGAATTGAGTATGTTGAATTCATACTTATTCTATATACGAAATTATGTATCCGACATAACTGTGATGAGTTCATTTAGCTGACAATGTTGTACTTATAGTCAATGGATGAATTGATGATTGATGATACGGGAGTAGTCGGAACTATCCAAACGGATTTATTATGTATAATGGTAGCCTTGAAGTATAATGAAAAATTTCATTCATTTACGTGTAACGAGACTGAGTGAGAGGGCTAATGCCTCAGGTGGCCTAAATGGCCATTTGCAGATCATTATTCTAGGAACTTGCCGTCTAGACTGTTTGAAAGTCGATAGAGTAAATTTCTGACTTCGAGGAGGTCAGTAGAATGATGTATTTCCGTATAATGTGACGGAAGATTTAGGTTATTTGTTTATATTTTTATAGGGTGAGATAGTTTTAAAAGAGTTACAACCCAAACAGTGTGGGAAGGTAAAGTACACTTTGGAACAAAAGAAAAGGCGTCTTGAATTGGTGAAACGAAAGAAAGTGGAACGGAAGACGTACTGAAACAACGGAACCGAAGTACAATCTAAAAGTATCTGTGGGACGGAATCAGTCAACAGGGTATGCTTTGATGCAAGGTAGAGTTATTCGATATACTCGGACTCGTAAATGATGAGTTTTAGATTATATCTGAAACAGAATCGGCTAATCGTAAAATGTCATTGTATTTTTGAAATTTCTTAATTTGTAATACGTAAAGAAAGAAGTTCATCTTTCGAACTGTAATATTATATTATTTACTCGTGGAAATTTTTATTGTTTGGAAGTTTATTAAATATTGTCTTTACTTGTAACTGGGGCTCGACTTATTTTTTCTATATATTAGCTCAGATTACTTCTTTATTCCATTAAAAATTCTTACATGTAGTAGTTTATTCAATACCGGGCAAATTTTTTCTTTGGAGGTCAGATACGCACCAAAACTTTATATTATTACCACATTTATCAATTAATACACACAGAGCAAATTCGTGTACTACTAGAAGACACTGTCCATTTGATTTCCAGGTTTGGCGAGGGGCTGTAAATTTAATTTGGTCTGAAACATTTCCTTTTCATTTATCTCAAGAAAATTAATACTTTTCTAAATAATATCACGGGTAAAATATGATGTTATTTTCACAAAAATCAGTGCAAGATATTTTTTCGCCTACTGACAGACATAAATTAGACATAAACGTGTCAGGTTTCTGCGCCAGAACATTAAATTATTGGTTCAGAAATACCGTATTACCAAATTGCTCGAGGTATCCAGATGGAATAGCCACTAAGCTCCGGAGGCTTCATGTTTGGTATTTAATTGCATGCTTCCAAATACAAGGAACATACGTTTACGAATACTAATATGTCGATGGTGATTATGCAGCATATATTTTAAAACTAAATAAATTAAAAACGTTAATTAAGTAGTTGATTTGAAAAGTTCATAAGCATTTAAATATACAAGTTTTTTTTAGCCTTTGATACAATGACTAGGTAGGTATAAAGAATACAACTCATAAAACATTGTACTAACATTCGCATTAAGCACGTGCCGCTCATCGTCTCCGGAATTAAGTCTTTTGTTATTACCTTAGAGATAACAAGGCCAAAAATATGTATTGCATAGACTTTTGTGTTTTACTCTTGAAATTTTCTAAATACAGAAATGGATAGAATTTTAGGGACAGGTTGTGGAACTAGAAATATACCTTTTGCTTTAAACCCCATTCCACACAGGAAACACACAAGTATTATCAATTGCTAAATTTGGGCAACTGGATCATAAAAAAAACATTGTGCAATTAACTTATGATGCCGTCTGTGCATATGTCATCACAAAAAATTAATATACCGCATGTACATGCTTGTAAGTCAAGTCAAACTGCAAAAAACTAAGATTCCGATCTGCCGTAGCATAATGCGCAGGCATGCAGAATTTATGTTGCATGTTCTCCTGATTACTCATAACATCCTGCACAGACCGTGATTTACCGGCGCATGATGCAACTGCAGACCTGGGTCTGTGTAGTTTTGCAGTTGGACACATCTTATAAGCATGAATACATCATACGTGCAAAAATATATTGAAATTTCATTACTATTTGCAAGGTTTTAATCTACAGTCGAAAACACGACTTGGCAGTCGCATACATCTCTCCGCTTCATATTTTTGGGAGCAATTTTCAAGGTAATGCAATTTGAATATATATATATATATATATATATATATATATATATATATATATATATATATATATATATATATATATATATATATATATATATATATATATATATATATATACTTTTGTATGTGACGTTTTGTGTTTGCTTTATTTGCGTTGTTGTAATAAACGTAACGAGACTGGAGTACGTCAGGATTTGAACACACTGTCAGTTATATTGATAACCTAGTACGTTAATAAAAACTAATTCTTCTGAAATACTAATTTTTTTTAAGAAAAAGAAAGGTTAATCGAGTAACTCTTATCATTTATGAATAAAATAAAAATCATAAAACAAGCTTGTTAAGACGACATGTGTTGCATTTAGCATTGACAATTTACTCATTAATTGATACCTTGGAGTGGGTCTTTTCGTCCATCCGTCCGTCTGTCCATCATACTTCCAATTCGGAACAATATCGCAGTTCATAATTAACATTCACCCAATTTGGTTTGCAGAGTAACATTAATGATATATTGAACGCGCTTTACTGTCAGTTTTCTACGTCATTGTTTAGCAGAGTTCAAGCCTCTTATTTTCAAACCGCCAAATTTCGTTTCTGCAAAGTAACTCCATTATGTATTTTTAGACCGCTCCGGTGGCTTAGTGATTAGAGCGTCCTCCTTGGATGAGGGAAGTCGCAGGTTCGAGCCAGGGCCAAGTCAAATTAAAGATTTTAAAAGAAATGGTATTTACAGCTGCCTCGCTAGGCGCTTAGCATTACGAAGTTAGTGTTAAGACTCGCAGGCCTGGTGTCAGGATAATGTGACTGGGTGGGACATAATGCTACATGTCTGTGGCATGATGCCCCAAGTGAGACATCACTATAAACTGCCACACTGCAGATATCGTAGCGATATAACTGAAAATTGTTAACGCTGAGTTAAAAATCCAATCACACACACACACACACACACACACACACACACATACATGCATACATACATACATACATACATGCATGCATACATACATACATACATACATACATACATACATACATACATACATACATACATACATACATACATACATACATACATACATACATACATACATACAGGGGCCCCGAGTGGCTGAGTGGTCTAAAGCGCTATCCGTTACGGATCACTGCCATTTCACCTCTGTCTGCGTGAGTTCGAGTCTAGGATTCGGCGAATGTGGATATGTGAGAAAGCTTGCCAGTAGCTTCTCGTGGGTCGGTGGTTCTTTCCGGTGATTTCCCGGTTTCTTCCTCCACCATTAATACTGGCCGCCATAAATAGCCTATCGTGTGCTGAAAAATGGCGTTAAGCCCAACAACAACAACAAAACAACAACATACATACATACATACATACATACATACATACATACATACATACATACATACATACATACATACATACACACACAGACAGACATACATACATACATACATACATACATACATACATACATACATACATACATACATACATACATACATACATACATACATACATACATACATACACACACACACATATATACATATATATATATATCTATATATATATATATATATATATATATATATATATATATATATATATATATATATATATATATATATATATATACCCCCACATTATTTATTCTTGGATTTTGACCAAATATTGTATAAGGCTGCATATTGATCAGCTCTGGGCGAATTTATTGTTAGCTTTCTACTTTTCCTTTCAATGGCTGGTGGCTCATTGATTTTAGTTTCTGTGTAGTAATATTTACTTGCCATTAAATTGTAACATATTCGGTATGCAACTAGATATTGATAATATTCTTCTGAAATTCATTATAATTGTTTTATGTCATCCTTTAGCAGAGTTATAGTCCCTGATCTTCAGACTTTCAACTGTGCGCTATAATTACTGAATGCATTAATAAATCAATACAGCTTAGTAGACCCGTTTGATGTTGAGTATATCTTGCGTCAATATATTGCGGCAATATCTCTGTTTTATTTTTATTGGTCAGGACCGAATTTGGCATGCAGCTCGATAAGGATGGGACCTCCACTGAGTTCGATTGTTAGCATACAACGTCGTGATTAGTTGAAGAAAAGATCCTGATTTTTGTACACATCCTCTTTCATCTCTGCACAATAGCACACTTATTTATTGTTGGTTTTCAGTCAAACTTTCTAATTTAGATACCTCAGCTAAGTTCAGTGACAGTTTTGTCGAGTTAAATTTTACGGGTGCTAAGGCATTTCAGAGAAGTTCTTCATGATTGGATTTATCCATTTTTATTTTCCACACGATAACAAATTTAATATCATTAGAGTTCAAGAAAATCGTATGTGCAGTTTTACATTGTTGCACCATCTTTCTTCTTCGTATAATTTATCGGCGTTATTGGACACTCAAAATCTGACCCACTTACTTTCGTTTCACTAAAATAATCCTCCTCTTTTTATTAAACTTTGAAGCAAATTTTCTTATACCACGTTATCCCGATGACTCGGTGTGTGGGCTTGACTGTCGGTTGTCGATTGCCTTTCGTCACCAGTAAGTGTATTCGCAAAATTAAATTCAGCACTGATATTAACTAGATAACGCAATCGTTAAATAAATACAACTATCATCAACTACATAATACTATAATGAACTAGATAACACTATCGTCGGCTAAACTACAACACCATTAATTAGCTCTCAGTATCATTAACTAGATAACGATATCCTTAACTAAATATTATCTTTAAATAGCTAACGCTTTCAAAGACCAACACTATTATCAGCTAACACTATCACTGACTAGATAACACTGGCATAAACTAAATAATACTATCACAAACTGGATAATACTGGCATTAACTAATTAAAGCTACCACTAACTCCGTTACTATTATTCCCAAGCCCGTCTTCCGTCAAGGAAATGTGAGGTCATCTGTTCCTCGAATTTGCTTGTTTAACAGAATCTTCAAAATAGTTGATGTTAAATCACACCCAAACAAATCAAAGGAACAAAATTAAAATTAGATACAACAGTGTAAACTGAATTATCTCAGTGCAGTTTTTGAGTACTGTATTACAATCACTTAGTTCCGTTGCGTTCTTTTATATAAGTATAGATTTGTTCTACTTAGTTTTCAGGAAGTGATACAATGTATCATTTTCTTTCAAGGAGAGACACTCCAATGAGAGATAAAACAAAACAAAACTAAAGTGATGACATTGCAGTGAATATTAATAAATCATGACTTAAAATCAGATATAAGCCTAGAACAAATTAACCCAATCAGCATTAATGGTGTACATCATTTCACTTTAGAATGTGGTTTTCTTTTTGACGTTAAAAACTAACGTCTATGCAATATATCATCTCTAACAAGTTGTTCCAAACAGTGCAAAGCTTTAAACTTGCTATTAACCGTTTATTTAAAAGTCGCTTTATAGCCTTCAGTAGTGACGCATCTAAAATTTGCACCCTGGGGAAAAGAGGAAAGATAATGCTTTTGAAATTGGAAGTTGTGCAAAGGTTAATATAATGAGCCACTCTAACAGACCTCTAAGCTTGGTGTTAGTAATTGAATGAGCCAGCCTAATAGACTACTGAAAATGGGGTTGGTAATTTTATGAACCAGCCTAAAAGACCATAAACGTGGAGTTGGTAATTAATGACACAGCCTAAGGTGAGTTGGCAGTTTAATGAGCCAACCTAACGAACCACTTGACGTTGTAATGGTAATTTAATAAGCCTATCTAATTGACTAGAACATGAGTTGGTAATTTAATAAGCGAGCCTAATAGACCACTAAAAACGTGGGGTTGATAATTTAATGAGCCAGTCAAATAGAACACTAAACGTGGAGTCAGTAATTGAATGAGCCGGCCTTATTGACCACTAAACGCTGTTGGTAATTCAATGAGCAGGTCTAATATACTACTAAATGTGGAGTTGGTAATTCAATGAGCCAAATTCAATGAGCCAGCGTTTTAAACCATGATTGTGAGTAGGTAATTATTTTGCAAACAGGGTTGGTAATTTAACAAGCTTAAAAGCGTGAAACGTTATTCGATGACTTTGTGATATTCTGGCATTAATTAATTAATTTAGTGTGGGTGTATGGATGTGCTACTTTCGTGACACATATTGATTGAATTCATTTTCCTAGAGCTGCGGAAAAGCTGACAATTCTAGGATAATGTATAGCAAAACCCAATGGTGGTCTGACAGCAATTTCTAATGGCGCTTGTACTTCTTGCCTCTTTCATACGTCACACGCAGTGACATCAGTTTCTAAAAATAGATTTTCGTACATTGCGAACAAGCAAAATGGCTAGCAGTGATACTTTCGGTACTATTCTTCTTACTGAAAATGGCGCTAAATTTGTTCATTCGAATATAGATGAGCATTCAATGAGCAGACCTAATATACTACTAAATGTGGAGTTGGTAATTCAATGAGCCAAATTCATTTACAGCAATGGTTAGAATATTAAGGTCTGCCCCAAAACGTAAAAAAAGAAGAAGCATACTGCTTAAAAAGTGCATCAGATCAAATACTATACATGACGGGACCTAGTGTATTCAATTTTTCTGGACGATGATCATTTCATGACTCGTGCAACTTGTATCTTGAATTTACAATACACTTCTATATGCAAAGTATTGTAAATAACAGAAATATCGATTTCTTTTCCTATCTGCAGTATAATTTATGAATACATTGATCACACAAACCAGTTTGGTATTTATCTGATTTATAACTGTACATTCTTGTATGGTTTTGTACGGTTTGAAACAATAGGGTATCCAATAGCACCCACCATTACGCTGATATTCAAATTTACAAGTGCAGCTTATGATTGTTGTTGTTATTATTCATATAAGTTCCAAAGCTTATATTATCATTTCAGTAATTATATTATTGTTATTATTATTATTATTATTATTATTATTATTATTATTATTATTATTATTATTATTATTATTCTTTTTCTTCTTCTTCTTCTTCTTCTTCTTCTTCTTCTTCTTCTTCTTATTATTATTATTATTATTATTATTATTATTATTATTATTATTATTATTATTATTATTCTTTTTCTTCTTCTTCTTCTTCTTCTTCTTCTTATTATTATTATTATTATATTATTATTATTATTATTATTATTATTATTATTATTATTATTATTATTATTATTATTATTATTATTATTATTATTATCGCAAATCATCCCGGTAATGTTTTCATAATTGAATAATTTACTGTTATCTAGTGGCTTCTTTGTTATTTTTAATCTTCTACGTATTATTATTATTAATATTATTATTATTATTATTATTATTATTATTATTATTATTATTATTATTATTATTATCGCCAATCATGCCGGTAATTTTGTCATAATTGAATGGATATAGAGAGTAAGATTTCGTGTATAATGCATTGTATGTGATGATGCTTGAGAACACCAGGGCCTAATCGGCGCATAAGTGATCAAAGTCATTGATATAGACTACAGAATATTTCTAAAAAATCATGTTGATGATCTTTTGGGGGACATAACAATACCGGTATTTATCATTAAAATAAACTTCATTCATATATTCAATATATTACTTATTTAATAATGTATATGGTGTCGCTCTACAGTTTCGTATTTAGCAGTATTTAGCATAGGGTTAGAATTTTAAAGAA